CAATATGGTGTGCATGGTCCCTCATTCTTCAATTAATGCAGACAGAATTTACTTTTGGTCTCCTCCCCCAGACAAAATCCATCCATGTGAGATTTAAAATAGTTCAGAAGCATTACCAGGATTTTGGTAATTTTATGAAGAAGTAAAACAAAAAATGGAATCAGAGAACAATGGTTTTAAAATCAGCCCCCCAAAATTCTACAAGAAGCCTCTCTTAACTTCAGCTGGGGCAAGGAATCCCAGTAGTTTAATACTCCCATAGTGTAAAAGATCTGGCCTAAAGGTTTGGATTTAGGGACCCAAAATCAATACATCATGGCTCCAAAACCCACCTTCTTCAAAGTTTACTAAAGAAACATTGGATTATGCCCTTAGTTTATGATGTACATGAATCTATCTAGGCATTGAACATACAATGTCTACCCTAAAGTCACCAATAGTAATCTGACAGATGCAAACTCCACTAATTATGTCTATGATGTGACACATGCTGTAACATGTTGTAAAGGAATCTCTGAGGAAAGACCAGGAAAAAAGTTTACCTCCATAAGAGGAATTACAGTTGAACCATATTTTGAATAGTATGGAGGATTTTCTCAGGTGGATAATGGGAGAGAAGACTGTGGTCGAAATGGGAACAAAAGAAACAGATGCTGGAGGTGTGACCAGCAATGACACATGTACAGGTTGATGTACTTACCTGGGAAGGCTGGGAGGTTGTAATGGAAAGACTCTGAAGAGACTTGAATACAGCTGGGTAGATGTACGCATTCAGCTTAGAGCTTATCCTTTGAATAGGGATTTTATGAGTACTTCAGGAACATTGTTGGCTTCAGGGTTAGTTCACAGTAGACACTAGAATCAAGGAGTCTAGTCTTACAATTAAAAGAAATTTCAGAAGTCATCTCGACCTTTTCCTTTCCCTGGGTTTTGTAGCTGAAATAATTAAAATTGAAAGCTATTAAATGACTATCCCAAGGTCAATCAGCAAATTAGTGCTAATATAAGGTCCAGAACCTAGTCCATCCTCAGTTCACAGGATTCGGCCCTGCTCTGTGCTGCCTTTGGGAATTTTATTCATTATTTGAACTTAATCCAATGTAATGCACAATGTGATTAGTAAGTATTGATGAAGCTCCAAGTTCTCCATTGCTCACTCTTAAGACATGGTTCCTTCATTGCTACCAGGTGATAGTTAAGATCCTGAGCTGTATCTGCACATGAGCACTCTTTTCAGAAATGCAGACAGAACGGCATACCAACATGTGGGCATGACATTCCTCCCCCACCTCACACATCCTCCCCTGCCTCCTCCTTCCAAACTGCCAGAGATTACAGAGGCGCAGCCTGAACAGACGGCATCTTAATCTCTGGTGGTTCTGTAAATAATGTGTTGTTCATGCTCACGTATAAATGATCACAGCGTCTCTATTTTCTGGATGAGGGAACCTTCAGAAAGATGAAGCTGCCTGTGCACACAGCACAGCAGAGATAGAATTTCAGGCTGCAAAGCTTCAGCCCTGTTTCTAACAGGGTTAATGTTTTCTCCCATCTGCAAAATCCTAATAACTTACCCAGGTTTCTGGCCTTAAATTTCACCTCTTAGTCAAGTTAGTTTGTGCATATTTAGATTTCTGAGATCAATTGTTTCCCACTCCGCTTTTTCTCCAGCTATCTTTCTACCACCTCTTGTCTGATACACATCCAACAGAAATCATCTAAACTAATCCACTCAATTTACAAGAATGGGAGCTGAGACCCAAAGAGGTGAAGCCACTGCCCAAGTTTGCACAGTTAAATTAAATAAAGTATTGTGACTGATCCCTAGACTCCCAGTCAAGTGCATTTCCTTCCACAACAAACTGCTATTTCCCAAGCATCAGAGATGACATACTATTTTCTCACTCTCATTGCATAAAGGTGGAAGTGGCTGATTGCACTGTGCTCAGAGGATCATCCCAAGACCTATTTAGAACACCCACAACTTGTTATTCCCTAGGTCCATCTGTCACCTTGAGATGCTGGTTAGGGAAGATGTTAAAACACTCTCTCCGGTCAAGAGGATACTTATTGTCAAGGCCATCATCACTCAGGGGGTGATCACCACAAGAAACAGTGTGCCCAAGACGAAAGAGGGGTGGGAAGGGTCCACGGCTCCCATCATTTAAGAATAAAGCAAAGATTGCCCAAAGTTCACTGTAAGTGCCAGGTTATTAGACTCATAATCCTAGAGCCCCCAAATTGGGTGATCAGATGGATCTTTTAAAAACTAGTAGTGGCCAATAAAGTGAAAAAAGACAACTCCCAAACCATTTCTGTTTCAGGGTCAAAGTGTTTTGACTGAATTAATCCACATAATTCATTTAGTATAGACAAAGTCTATAGTCATAAAAGGTTTTGTTTTGTTTTTTATTTCAATGGCTATTTTCTGTTTAAATTACTTCTGATGAATTATTTTAAGACAAAAATAGGATATGTTTCAGTAAGGATAATATTGAAAAGAGAAGTAGAGGAGAGGAGAGAGAAACCAAAAACCAGCTACCCAAGTAAGGTTTTGTAGGGTCACAATCATAATCTGCCCGAGCTTATTAAGTACAGAAACTCAATTTTATCAATTCTATCAAGAGTGATCCAGCTCTGCAGAACCAAGCCACATTCTCCAAATCCCAAGAGATTAATTTGTATTCTAGATGCAAATTTAGCCACACACAATGGCCTGTGTTCATGGGTGTGGCCCAGGTGATTCCCTTCCTAGTATTGAGATAATAAGAAAACCAAACAAGTGATCAAATATAACCTGTGGGCACAACACCAGCACCAATGGGGCTGGAAAGTGCCCATTGGGGTGCAGCAGATTGAGAGGATTCTTCCAAATCCCTTTCAGGTTACTGGAATAGTTATACCTTTCAAATAAAGGGTCTTGTTCCTTCTATTTCTGTAGTGGCAGAGTAACTGGAAAATTCTTTTTGACAAACGTACAGACTTAATCTGATCTCCTTGTAGCCCGTATCTTCCGTTAGGATATTATTGCAGATGTGTGGTAACTACTTTCCTCGTGGCCTGTCTTATATTAGCTACATTAGTCTCCCTTAGGGAGATGCTGCAGCTTCACTATCAACAATGAATAAAGCATCTGAATGACTGAGTTATTTCTAAAGTGGATATATCTCTGTACTTCGTGCTGATTCTGTTTATTCCACTCAGAGGGTGCTATCATCTGGTCTTGCTCTGAGTCCACCTGGGTCTGGTTTATCCTCCTCAGTAGTCACTGTGTGTGGACCCTGACATTTGAAACTGTATCTGTTCATCACTTAATGCAGAGAACAGTTCTGGGGTGGCTATGACTCATATTCTAAATGCAGAAGAAATTGACTCTCAAAATTGACTCTCTGTTTTTTAAAAATCAGACAATATTGTTTGTTTCTAAAAGAGGACAAATTTTTTTGACTATTTTTATTTTCCTTTGAGCTGACTGGTTATACTGATTCCAAGTAGGAACAAACTACACAGACAATTTGAGATTGATTTTAGGTTCTGTCCTAGTCACAAAGACTTTTGACACACTTTCTGTTCCAACATCAGAATGCAAAGGAAGAAAATATCTGAATGAGCATAGACTGTCGTGCCAGAAATAAATTCCTAATATAGACAACTAAAACATGCCACTATAGAATTCAACTATCAAAATAGAAACAAGATTTCGCTGCTTCAATACTATCCTAGTGAATAGCCTCTGTTCTTCCTGCTACTCCCAATCTATTCTAACCTTCATCTATAAATAAATACTATGGTGCCATGATAGTATATTAAGAATTTAGGGATCACCGGTCATTGGGGCGTCATGATGTCATCTCTATATGCATGTGATTCCAGAGTGGCAAGTGACTGAGCATTCTTAAGGTCAAGGATAAGTGGATAGCTATATTATAATACTTGTGTGTGTGTGTGTGTGTGTGTGTGTGTGTGTGTGCGTGCGCACGCACGCGCACCAGGGATTGAACCCAGGACCTAATGCATGCAAAACAAGTACTTTACCAACTGAGCTATCTCCCCAGCCCCTCATAATACTTTTGATAATAGTAGCAATCTCCCACATTTACTTATTTAATTATATCAAGCAGGTATTATGCTCTCCATTTCACAGATGAAGATTAGAGCATTTAAATGACTTACCCAGTAAGGTAAGTCTTAGCCAGTAAGGATTAGAGTCAAGAAATGCTGTGCCATCAGACACAGACTATCCTTCCTATCTATACAGTCCATTCACCATTTTTCACTTCTCTTTGGAACAGATCAATCCTAGTGCATCTTATGTGAGTGTGTCAACAACAAGAATGACTAGCAGGTCTATCATTGCCTTAGTCAAGAATGAGAGCCAGGGGTCCACAAGTTTGGGTGGGACTTTGGCAAAGTTGTGCCCTTTTTAAGACTCAGTCATTCCTTCTGGGAAAAAGAGAAATAATGGTTCTTTATTCATTTAGTTATTCATTTCTTCAACAAATAGTCTAAAAACTGAAGCACAGAGGAAAAATAAAAACAGACTGGAACTGTGGATAAAAATAGGAGCCACAGTCCAGAGTAGTGTTACTGAAACAAAAACAATTTAAAGTTCTCATTGCCTAGGATATGTGCAGGATTATATGCAAGGTTAGTTATTTTGGTTTAGTTTTCTTAATTAGTAAAGTGATTTAAATTCTCCTCACACAGCTGTCAAAGAAACCAAAATCACAGACTTAACTGGCCAACATGGTGCAAGCTACTCCTCACAAAAGCAAAGACCTAGAGCCTCCAGTTTCCTGGGAGTGGTTTGTAGAAAAGAGATTTGTCCTACAGTGTCAGCAATGGGCACCATGTCTCTAGAAGCCAAATAAATTAATATTTTAGAAGTTCAAGATGCATTTTCATATGCCAGGAACTCTTTTCTTTTTTATGAAGTCTGAGATTGTTTAATTACCCCAAAGCAAGAATATAGTGCAAAAAGACTAATGAGCCATAATGAGAGAACTGATGGCAGAAGAGATATTTATTAAGTAAAACAGAAGGGAGGATTTGAAAAGAAGGCAAGTAACTTGAAAGGTCATTTAATTCAGCTTAAGAGAATTCTAAAGTTTAATCTTGCTGATGGACTGGAGTGTGTGGCAGGAAGATTGAGTGACAGAGTAAAGAAAATTATGTGAACCAAAAAAGAAGGGGAGAGAAATTGCAGATTTTTTAAAGTACTTTTCATTGAAAGGGAAAATCAGGATGGAAAGTGTGGGGGTATTTGCTGGGCAGGAAGTGAAAATACATCTCATTGCCCCTAAGCTTTACCAGTGTCTTGGGCTTAGGAGTAAGAAGTACACCTAAATAAGCAGCCAGCTCTTTTTCAGTTCTGAATCATTGAATTTGTCCCTAATTTCCAGGAATCACATGCAAGAGACATCCCTACGAAGCCATTAACTAAAAGACTGCACCTGCACCAAGCCTAGAGGCCTAGTTTATGTACAGTGAACTACATTTAGAATTTGAAGGTGATTTTTCTCATCTTCAGAGGGACATCAAGACTTACCTAGCATAAGACCAAGTCCAAAGACAAACAAAAATCTAGAGGAAACCACTATTCTTTGAAAATGTGATATGTTTACCAGCCAAAACTTACAGCTCAGCATGTATACAGGGCCAATTTTTAGTAAAAAGTAGGGCAACATTGGTGGAGAGTGGAATGTTCAAGGTGTAACTCATGGTGCGACTGCATCCCATAACTCAGATTGGTCTATTTCTACTTTGCTTTAAATGTTAAGGCAAAAGTCTCAGGTTAAAAAAAAAAAAAACTATATAGACTGGTTCTTACCTGAGTTTGTTTATGGCTTAGCTCTTTGCATATTTTAGAGAAGCCGTTCATTACAAGCTCAATGGCTATAAGATGGATGAAACTCAACTCTCCTAGACTGAATGCTGAGCTAAGGAGATTAGGCTTTAAGCCACAGCAGTGGGAGCCACCAAACCTGGCTATGATTGGCAGAATGACAGAAGTTACAACAACAGCGAGTGGGACATGGGGGAGGGGGTAAGCAGAGAGGGTGGAGAGAGAAAGAAAGGCTAGAAATAATCAAATCAGGAGATTAAACTGTGGACGTTGTGTAAGAAAAAGAGCATTTCACAGCTTGTAGAATCAGCTTGTAGAATTTGTTGCTATGTTGGCTAGTGTTGAACCATGTTGTCTAAATCATGTTTGAGAAAAGCCCAACTCCAAAGACTGCTTCTCTCTTTGGCTTCACACCTGACTTCAATGGCCTCTTCTCTCTCAACTGGCAGGAGTCACTCTGCTTGGTAAAGGATGGGGGGGCGGGCAGAGGAGCAGAGGAAGAAAAACAGATGCCTCTGTATGCCTGTAGCCAAACTGATGCCAAGAAAGCCCCTGGAGAGGTGGAGTGGGGTAGTGGTGTCCGTGCAGCCCTCCTCCAGCTGCATGAGCCTCACCTGGCACCGGTCCCTTTGCTTGTCGGCGCTTGAGATCTGTAAGACAGAAAGGCAAACACAGATGATTGCCATGGTTCTTTCCAGCTGGAAAGTTTATAGCATCGGCAGTATATTATTAATTTAAAGATGCATTTCATGGATCATATTCAATTCAATTCAATTGCAGGATGCACCATTGTATAAAATGCCAGAGTTCCTAAGGGCTTGTTTCCTCACTTTCTTTTCCTACCCCTTACTTCATGTTTTTTTTTCCATTAACTTTCCAATGCAGTATTCCCCCGCCCTCTTCTGTGTTGTTCTTCATTTTCTAGCAACAGCAGGAAAGAGACTGCTTCAAAAAGACAAGAAGCTGAGGTCATCTGTTTATCCGCAGGACAACGAAGGGCCAAGGCAGGGCTTAGCCAGCCAGCTTTTTTCCAGACTGTTCTCCTGGTGACCCTCAACCCTGTACCAGCACGGAGAGAAAGATGACCTCAGCCTTCCTTTTGACTTATTGTTTATTACTGCTTCGTCTGCCAAGCTGCAGGCTTCCAGATGTTCTAGACAACTCTCCTCTTCACCACCTGCAGACCCAGCAAGCAAAGGTGACTCTTGTCACTTCCTTTTCCTAGGGAAAATATTAAAGAGGGAGATGATTTGCACAAATCTTAGCTGGAAAATAGACACAGTGCCCACATGCACATCCACATCCACAGCTCCCAGCCTCCTATGGGCAGTGGCTCCACTTACCTCATTCCCAGGGAAAGGATCAGACCCTGAGTAGTCACTTGCCTTCTATTTCCCTGACTTACTATTGCATTTGAGAATCATCATGTCCTTGTTTTGCTCATCTCCACTGGAGCTAAGGTCAGCAGGCTCTCCCCTACCTTTCTACCCTCCTCCACCTTCAGCCCCAACCTAGGGCTTATTCCCTACTGCTTGGACATCTCACCTCCCTCCAATGACAATCTGGCCCTCTCATATGAGAAAACTGATACTGCCCTTGAAATATTAAGAGGAGAACATAGAATCTGTTTCTCCTGATCCTCACAAGCTATGGAGACTAGAGATTTCCTCCTGACAAACCAGGATTCTGCAATAAGAACCAGATTGCTAGGGCTGGGGATGTGGCTCAGGCAGTAGCGTGCTTGCCTGGCATGCATGCGGCCCGGGTTCGATCCTCAGCACCACATACAAACAAAGATGTTGTGTCCACCGAAAACTAAAAAATAAATATTAAAAATTCTCTCTCTCTCTTTAAAAGAAAAAAAGAACCAGATTGCTAGCAACCCTTAAAAAAGAAATACCTGATTCTCAAGATCAGCTTATGGGGAACCTGAATATACAAAGAACTCAAAGCTGGTAAAATAAGGAAAGACTTAATTGCCAAAAAAGCATTATAGAAAGTACAAGTCAGTCCATCCCAAGTACCAATAATAATACTAATAGTATCTGTGTTTTGATCTAGTACTTAGGCATTTCATTAACATGATATAGGCAACAATTCTACAAAGTAGGTATTATTATCCTCATTTTTTAGATAAGGAAACCATGACTCAGAAAAACTATAAAATCATAAACAGATGGGGCAAGGACACAGATCTGTCTGATTTCAGAAACTGTATAGCTAAAACTTAAGCTTCAAAAAATAGGACCCAAACCAGTTCACTGGAAAGGAGAAGCCCCTGGTTCCTTGGTCCATGACTCTAACTAGCAGTGTGACCCTGGGCATGATTTGGAGGTTTCAGTTTCTTTGTCTGTGAAATGAGAGTGTCAGATCTGGACACATCTTTTGAGTTTTGGTTTTCTACCTATGAAAGGAGAATGTTAAATCCAATTATTTCTTTCAGTTCTAGCACCTGGGAGTGTGCTATCTAATTCCCGTGTGCCTCCTCCAGAGGGGCCTGCAACTAACATCTAACCCTTAGCACAACAGATTTCTAACAACAGGAAGAGCCACTGCAGAGATCCTGGAAGTGACTCACAAAATAATTCTGTTCACCTGAGAGAACCTATAATTGGTACGACTGTGATTTCCCACTGGTCAGGGCTGGCTTAGGTAACATTCACTGCCATTTATTTCTTCATCATTTCATGGCACTCTCTGGTGACAACAGAGGGAGGACCTGTGCCCAATAATTGTCACTGATGGGTTTAAAAGGGTAGTGACTCAAAAGTGAAATGGGGAGAAAAGAAAAATATGACACACCCACACATATCCTTTATATGAAAACCCATTACAACGACATGTTAATGGTAAATGGCATTGGAATTATTTAATGGCAAGGTTTCTTCCTTCAGTGAAAAGGAATAACCCAGGATTCTGACCAATCATGTGTTTATAGTCCATCAAAGACTGAATATGATGGAGAGAGAGAGTGGTACCAAATCTAAGGCCCTGGGAATTGAAGCTGTTGAAAACAGCTCCAGACCAGAGGGAGAGTGTTCCATTTGATGTGAAAATAGAATATTCTGTTTGCAAAAGTCTTACTTCACACCCAACCTGTGGGACCAGTATTGAATGAGTTAATGTGAGTGCATTTTTCATGTGTCAGGAAAACCCGTGGGTGTGAATATGTACAGAGGGGCAGGGTGAATACTGGGGAGAGAAGGAGGGAGAGAAGTAGAAGAAAAGCACGCGTGAGCTATTCTGCTTAGAAAGGCATTGTGGTGGCCAAGGCTGTATTTCTTTTAATATAAAAATATTGGTTGATAAGAGAGTTGATATTTGATGTAATTACTTGAGTTAAACCATCAAAAAGAGCAATTTCCTCCAAGTCACTTGAGTATCAATAGGACATGAAGTCAGTATGTTAAAGAGACATCTGCACTGGGTACAGTGATGCACACCTGTAAGCCTCCTAGTGGGTCCGGAGGCTGAGGCAGGAGGATCGAAAGTTCAAAAGTCAGCCTCAGCAACAGGGAGGCACTAAGCAACTCGTGAGATGCTGTCTCTAAATAAAATACAAAATAAGGTTGGGGATGTGGCTCAGTGGTCAAGTGCCCCTGAGTTCAACCCCCTCCCTTAAAAAAGAGAGACATCTACACTCCCATGTTTATTGTAGCACTATTCACCATAACCAAGAAAATGGAATCAACCAAGGGTCCCTCAGCTGATGAATAGATAGAGAAAATGTGGTACATTTACACAATGGGATACTGTTCAGCCATAATAAGGAAGGGAATCCTATCATTTGTGGCAAATATAGATTGAACTGTAGATCATTATGTTAAGTGAAATAAGGCACAGAAAGACAAAATGTCACATGACCTCACTCATGCAGAATCTAAAAATGTTGAGACTACAAGAGTGGTTACCAGAGGAGGGGGGAAGAGTGTGAATGGGGAGGGATGTAGAGGTTGATCTATGGGCCATAAGTTATAGTTTAGAGTCATAGGTTCTGGGGTGCCATTGCGCAGTAAGGTGGATCCAGGCAGTGATAATTGTCTATTTCAAAAATCTAGGAGGGGCTGGGGTTGTGGCTCGGTGGTAGAGCGCTCACCTAGCCTGTGAGAGGGGCTGGGTTCGATCCTCAACATCACATCACAATAACTAAATAAAGGTATTGTGTCCAACTACAACTGAAAAATAAATATAAAAAAGAAAAAAGCTAGAAGAAAGGCTTTTGAATATTTCACCGTAAAGAACTGATAAATGTTTGAGGAGATAGGTATCTTTATCCTAATTTAAATGCTATACAATGTATACAGATATTGAAACATCACATGTACCCCTAAAATAGGTACAACTTTTAAGCTCATATGTATGAGTTAAAAAAAAATTAAAAAGAACATTCATAGGTTTCCTTAGTAGGCATGGTGACCATTAAAGAGATTTGACAGGTAAAAACTACGTTTCTTGCAGTAAGGCAAGACAATGCCAGGATAAGCAATGTTTTCCAGGGAGAACCGGGAAATCTCGTCACTGCCTGTGTGGTTTACCATGTCCTGGTCCATGAACAATTTATTTTCAGCAGCACCCAGTGGATAGCCTGTCAGCATGTATGCCACGTTTCCTTCCCTATGGCATTTGTCATTAATCCTTGTTACAGTGCTGTGGGCTAAGCAGAGCAGATGTACCATCTGCATTTTGACAACAAACCTGTTCAGAAAGGTAGAACAATTTGTCTGAAGACACACAGTTTTTCTAAAAGGATCAGTCTTTAAAATTCTAGGTTTCTAACTCTTCATTCAGGGCTCTATCTATGACATTCCAGCAGGAATGGAGCCTTGAGTTATCCGGTCAATTCTGTTTCAGCAGAACACAGCTGAAACAGTTCATTATGAAGATATAACATAGCAATTGCCTAAACTGGGGCATCTGAGGATCAATTAACAAATATTAGTTGCAAGAAGGTTGCCAGGTTCTATATCAACTCTGGAAAAGGTTGAAACACAGACTGTGTCCTCAGGGAGCTGACAGTTGTGGGGCCTACACTGAGGCCCAGAGAATGAAGAAAGGTACATTATAATTATATGTAAGAGTGGGATTCATTGTACTCTATTTGTACGTGCACGTAACAAAATCAGTCTCCTTCCCCAGTACCTTCCTGTTCCCGCCCCTCCTCCCTCTCCCTGATCTGCTTGCTCTGTTCTTCTTATCTCCCTTCTATTACTATATTATTATTATTTTAATTAATACATTATATACACAAGTGGGATTCATTGTGGTATATTTATAGTGGACATGCATAACTTGATAGATTTCATTCCCCAGTACTTCCCATGCCCTTCCTTCCTCCCTCTTTCCCTCCCTCCCTCTCAATCCCTTCTCCACTCAGTATTACTTTTCATTAGAAAATTTTAAAAAGCACTGTTCAGCTATGCTTAAAATTTTCCTTCTTTAAAAATTAATTTAAGGACTGGGGTTGTGGCTTAGAGGTAGAGCACTCACCTAGCGTGCATGAGGCACTGGGTTCAATCCTCAGCACCATATAAAAATAAAGGTATTGTGTCCATCTACAACTAAAAAATAAATGTTTAAAAATTGATTTAAAAGTTTCTTTTAGTCACACTGGGGATTAAACCCAGGGTCCTTCTACACTGAGTTACATTAACTATATCCCCTGCCCTTTTTATTTTAAGACAAGGTCTTGCCAAATTGCCCGGGCTGTTCTCTACCTTGTGATCCTCCTGCCTCAGCCTCCTGAGTAGCTGGGATTACAAGTGTGTGACATTGAACCTGGCTCTCCTCAGTTATTAAGAGCAATTGCAAATGCCAGGCCACTTTCTGCTATTGCTATTATTTTCCATGAACCAAAACCTTGATCCTATGTGACGCACATTATGAGGGTATCTGAGGAGAAGGCAGTGCCTGCTTCTGCACATCTTCACTAACACCTAGTGTTAGCAGATTCTACCATTGTTGTTTAAATAATGGATTTGAAATAACTTCAAATGGGCTTAATTTGTATGTCTGATTATTCATGAGGTCTTTTCATGTGTTTATTCTTTATATGTGTGCAGATCTTTTCATATTTTTTCAACCACGTGGATTTCCTGTTTAGCAAATTGCTTGTTCCTAACCATTGCCCATTTTCCACTGTGTTTATTTTTTTTCTTATGCATCTGTAGATATTTTATAATGCATCTTATTTATAAAAAAAAATCTTTTGTTAATTATATGCTTTGATTGTGTCTTTTCTAGGTCTGTGGCTTTTCTTTCTTTCTCTACTTCCAACCACCACCTTTTATAGTTGGTCTATTATGGTGTCAAGGAGATTTACAGCTATTTACACTTAACATTCTGCTTACAGAATCCTAAATGCAGAAAGGAATCTTTCTTTCCCATCAAGCCAGGTTTTCCTGAACCTACTATTAAAATGCTAAAATTATGAAGGCAAATGTCGACCTCTTGTGCTGTTTTGTTTTTCATTCCAATAGCTAATGTAAGAAGGGAATTTAGTCAGGATAATGCTTTTAGTCACTCATTTCTTATGAAATCACTGATGAGAAAAAAGGATAATACTACTGTGTCTTTCCAAAAACATTTGATAAAAAACAATGCCTGCATTATAGAACCTGAAGAAATCACCTAACTGGAGAATACTTCAGCCAGGCCAGACCGGGCAAAGGCTGAGCCAGTCCCTCTCCCCTCTGAAAGGCCAATGGACTGAAAGTGTTTGGTTCAATTTGGTTGCTAATTATACATCGTGTGAGATTGATGTCCCACTTAATAAAGCCAATCACAGAGTGGCCTCCTAAGTTCAAGGGAGGAAAAAAGAGGGAAAAGGAGAAAGAAAATTGTATGTTTTCAGTTGAATAAATTGGCTTGTTTTTAAACCCAAGTATTAGAATTGGTAAATTTTTAAAAAAATCTATCTATAGCTTTTAATTAGAACATGGATGAATCAATATTCCTTTCTGGAATAATGCAAACTAATGAGTATTCAGAGGTTAAAATAAATTTCCCAGAGAAAGAAATGAGCAAAATAAATAACTCTGTGAATGGTACATTTCTTACACAAAAATAATTTTATAATGGATGTAATTGTAGGTACATTAAGGTGCTAGTTCTTTTTTCCACTTAATACATTTTCCATAAAGGCAAGTATTAACATTTTTAGTAAAAAAAAAAAAAACTTTTTTAAAGAAATGGGATAGCATTATATTTCTGAAATCAATTAGTCCTACTGATTGAGAGAAATGCATCTCTTCTGGTACCCAGAAGGCAATCCTTACAATAACTTAAGGCAATCTTACAAAAACTTAATCAGTTTTCATTTAGTACAAGCCACCTTTTGAAAGAGAAAAAAATTGAATTCTGTATTTTCCTCCTGTGTTAATCTAGAAGTTGAGACAACCCTTTGTAACCACTAATGCACTATTTAAATAAGTCCTCTATCAGTATTATAACAACAATTAATACGAATATATTAACTAGTAATTTTGTAGGCTACAAGTTTAGAAAGAACTGCTTGTCACATGTGGTTTTATGAAATGGACTTCCATGCAATTGGATTCCTATAGAAACTTCCCAATATAGTCATCAAGCCAACCAGTTACTAGCATGGAAATCAGCAGCTCACATCCTTCAGTTGAGCAGAGCTGCACAGAGAAAGAACCATTTAAACCAGTACTAAGCACTATTAAAACAGGAAGGAATTACCACCCCCTTCTGCTTAGGTGTAAGGAGAAGCTTAAACAAACCATTTTTATACTATAACCTTATATTTATAGCCAGCAAAAAAGCCCTGTCATTGAAATCCAACTTAGTAATTCTCCATATAGAATGACATTGTAGGAAAAACATCATGTTTAACTCTGTCATTTGACATTTTCCATATGAAGTGGGCATGTTTCCTATTTGAACTTTGGCCACATGTTCTTATTACTGAACTATTCACATCGACCATGGTGATCTGAAAAAATAAAATTGGTTATTTGCCCAGATACCTTGGCATACAACACCCAACAAGGGAGAAGTAGAATGGGGACTTAGAACTCGAGAATTATAAATCTGAAGGGAAATTTGGGTAATCATGTCACAGGTGGCTTACTTGAATGATAACTCAGAGGTGGATTGTCTTTCCGTGCAATGCATATATTAACACTAACATCACACAGCTACAATTCCAATACAATCACACAGATGTTAAAATACGGTGAACACTTCAGCTAATAGTTACAGTCAAACCCAGGGATAACTACAAATCCCAGAGTACCTCCAAGGCCATGTGACTTCTTCTAGCCGAAAGGTGGACGTGGTTCGGTGGTTCCTTCCAACAGACTCAGATAAGAAGCTGGTGGGTCAGCATCCTCCTATGAAGATAGGGTGATCAGTCTTGTTGGGGTGTCCTCGAATGCTGGTGTGGTAGTCTCCTGCTTTCAGTTTAAATTGGTGCTGAGCTCAACATTCATTGGTTAGGCCTATGGGTGTGTTGGGTTATTCCCATGGTTGTTTCTGGTTACCCCCAGGCAGAATATTCCAATGTTCAGCATGCTTCCTACTGATAGCTGCAGAAACATTTTGGAATATGCCATCCAGATATGTTCCTTGCATCAACTCTTCCCACCTTGTCCTTGAATTTTTCAAGCTGAGAATGGTTTACAGTTGTTCTCTTGGACTGGGCTGAAGCAATTTCCATTGCCTTCAACCTCAGGGTATGGGAATGCTGAGAAGCCCCAGGGCACTTCCTTCTTCCAGACAAACTCCCCTTGCCCCTAGTGAGTATATCCCAGTTTCCCCCTTGATAGTCAGGACCCATCAGTCCAGTGATTTAGCAACCTCCTTCATTGCCTTTTGATATAGAAATATGATCTTTTTTCAGGGCCATGAAACTATTCAAGGAGAAATCTAAGAATTCAAGGTCCTTGACTCTCAATGACAACCGTAACATATTATATGCTCCCATTTTCTAAACACTTTCCAGAAATCATCTCATTTTAAAACTCCTTACAATGATGCTTTTGGGGAAGATGTTGGTTAGGGTTCAGATATAAGGTGTTCCCCCAAAAATCTCATGTACAGAAAAGTTCAGAGGTGAAATGGTTAGATTACAGAGCTCTAACCTAATTGGTGGATTAATTCACTGATATGGATTAACTGGGTGATGACTATAGGCAGGTATGGTGTGAATGGAGGAAGTAGATCACTAGGAGTGTGTCTTTCAGATTTATATTTTGTCTCTGGTGAGTGGAGCTGTCTCTGCTTCCTGGTTGTCATGTCCTGAACTGCCTTCCTAATCATGCCCTTCTGCCCATGACATTCTACCTCATCTTGGGCCCAGAGCTATGGAGTTGACTGGCCATGGACCGTACCTCTGAAACTATGAGCCAAAATAAACTTTTCCTCTTCTGTGCTGTTCTTGTCAGATCTTTTGGTCACAGAAGCAAAAAAGCTGACTAAAACAATGTTATTACTACTCCATTTTACAAATGGAAAATATCACACAGAGATGTGGAGCTCAAGTAACAAGGCCACACAACTGGTCCATGATCGAGCTAGGATTCCAACAGCGAAGCTGGGCACCAGATCTCCACTCTTAACCCCTACCACTACCTTTGGGTCCACATCTCCCAATTTAATAACATCTCTCCTACATAGGCTACAAGGAACTGTGTATGAGATTTCTGAGGGCAAGAACCTGGTCCCTCTCATCTCATGCTTCAGAACCCAGGATAGTATCTGACACAGAATCAGAATATTTTTATATTTTCATTGGTGCATTATAATTATACATAATAGTGGGATTCATTATGCCATATTCATATGTGCACATAACATAACTTGATCAATTTCATTCACCAGTACTTCCCTTTCCCTCTCCTCCTTCCTCCCCATTCACTTGTTCTGCTCTACTAATCTCCCTTCTGTTATTGTGATTGTTATTTTAATTAGTGCATTACAATCTCACACACACACACACACACACACACACACACACACACACACACACACACACGAGATTCACTGTAGCATGTTTGTATGGGAACAGAGCCTAATTTGGTAGATTTCAGTACTTCCCCCATGCCCTCCTCTCCTCCCTTCCTCTCAAACCCCCTCCTCCACTCTACTGGTCTTGGATCAGCATCTTTTAAAATGTTAATGGATGAAATTAAACTATTCTAGGTAACAAAATTGGCCAATTCCAATTGTACTATTTTTAGGATCATGATGTAATGTACATGATAGGAAGAATTACAAATAAGATCTGATTGAAAATTTCCTGATTTTATTATTTTAAATAATAAAATGTTTGGTTTGGGGCTTTGTTTGGGTGTGTTTTGCAGCACTTCCAGTGTGCCTGGACAGGGCTAAGCACTGTATGTAGTATTTCATATAGCTGCTCGCAACACAGTAAGACAAGTGCTATTCTGCCGTGCAATTTACAGTTGACAAAATGAATGAAAACTTGAGGACATGGAGGGACCTGCCCAAGGCCATGAAACTAGTAAGTGGTAGAAGCAGGCATTTGTCACAGGAATGTCTTGTTCCAAAGGACACCTATTGGGTGTGAGGGTAGCTGACTGTAGTATCTGTCACCCCATTGCTCACCAGAGTTGATTCAGTTGATCTGGCTGGCTATGTGGGTGTCCCTTCCTCCCTCACCACTCCATGTGTGTCCCTCCCAAAGCTGCATACACCCAATAGATGAGGACCATTCTTCGGTCAAGGATATATGAGTAGCTGTGCTCCCCTGTTAACAAACAAGCTCTCCCCACCAAACAAGGTCCAAAGGATACATATTACTAATATAAACATAAGATCTATGTTAATCCGGTCAGTTTGATGTTTTTCCCAAAATTTCTTTATCTGCTTGTCAATATAAAAATTCACATCCTCATCCTATTCCAGCTGCTCAGAATAATCCTGGGGACCCAGGAGTCAGACACCAAGGCACAGCTAGCTCAGTGGGGAGCCCTGAGCGTGGCTGCCCTTTCCTCTGAGGTACAACCCAGCAGGGATCCAGGCAACACCCAACACCTGGGCCGCAAGCACCTTACCTGTAACTTGCCCCAGCGCTCCCCATCAACACTTGGCCTCCTCTGCTGGGCCAGCTCTGCCTCTGCTTCCTGCATCCCCTCAATGATGACTCAGTCTCAGCTGGGCAGCAGAACAGCCAACCATCATGTGAGTTCTGGAAAAATGAGCTCCACACTGTGAAGTATGACCTTACCAGTGGATCCCCAAAATAGATCCCATTAAGTCCTGGAGGGCCCATACCTGGCAAAGGGATCAATGGATTCATCCTCCCCACCTTCCACCTCCCCGCAAAAGGCAGAGAGTTACCACAGAAATACACTAGGAAAATTGTGCCCCATGATCCACTGGAAACCACTGGAGAGCACAGATAGTGAGAACCCACAGGAAACCGGATCCATTCTTCTGAATGATTAGGACACAGAGACAGGGGCAAGAGAGAGAAATTCCAAAAAGGCCTCATGAAAATTACTTTTAACTGAGTCTCACATTTATTCATTTATTATTACTTTCATTACAAAGGTCATGATGAGCTGAGGAGGGCCTGGGCCTGGTAGGTTATTTCAGTGGGATAATGAAGACCTTCATATAATTCACCTGAAAAATCAATGAATTGACTTCTTTCAGTGTGTCTGTCTATGCTAGGAAAAATCAATACCTAGTTCTCTAGATTTGGGGTGGGGGAGATGCCTAATAGGCCCTGTGTCTAGATTCTGCTATTCAAATACACATGCAGAAAATAGGCTCATGTGGTGACAGTGAAAAAGAGGATTAATGCCCTCCTCAAAGAATAGCCCTGGTTTTTCTAGCTATTTTGTGATCCTTCTGGTCACATGATTCCCAAGAGATGTAGTGAAATGAGCATTACTGTAAGAGCTGCGACAATTAAAGCCCTTTTCTTACAAGGAGCCCTGTATGCATTATCCCATTTAGTCCTCCCACCAACCCTGAATGTAGACACAATTAGTGCTGTTTCAAAGGAAGACCTGAAATCCAGAAAGGCTGAAGTACTTGTCCAAGTTCACATGGGAAATTGAAGCTTGGGTAAGGATAATAGAATAAATCTTCTCATCACACTTCCCACCTCTGTAATCACAACCCATCTAAGATATGATATTCATATCTTAGATGGCACAAAACCCTGAGAAGGTAACTTTTCAAAGTGACATTGAACCTTTTCATCTCACATATGATGAAACTGAGGCTCAAGGAAATAAGTTGTCTTAATTCAACTACCATGTGTAGTGCATCCAATATGGCAGAACTTTGTGACAGTTTGCACAGGGTAAATGCACATTTAATAGGTAGATAAAAACAAGCATGCCAATTATTAAAGTAATGGGGAGAAGAGTTGTAAGATGCCACCTCTGGAAAAACTTCTAAGCAAACCCCAAAACTGTGACCAAAGATTTATATGCAAATAAGTTCATTGGAACATTATTTATAATAGTGGAAATTTTATAGAAACCTAAATGTCTAACAAATCCAACAAATGATGAATGATTACATGAGTTATGGCACAGATATATAATGGAACATTTAACAGTCATTCAAATCATATTTTATAAGGATATGTTAATGATCTGAGCAAATGTCCATAATAAAATAAGTGAAAATAGCAGATACAATATTTATGTATAGCTTGTGCATTATTGGGGACCATTTTTCACCAAAATGTTATCAGTGGCTAATTCTAGACATTGAGCTATGGGTGATTATTATTTTCTTCTTTACACTCCCTGTGTTTTCCAAACTGCCTATAATGAGCATTACAATTTTACAATTAGTTAAACAAGCAATATTCTTTTTCAAAATGCTTGGCAACCTCTTTAGAGATTACTTTGCACTGGAACCAGCTTCAAGTAAGCAAATGTAAGGCTGGAAAGGTAAAAGAAATTGCTAAGGGTATGAACTTCTTTCTCTTTGCAGTAGGGCGTTGTTGCAAAGCAGTAATAACCAGAACTAGGCTTTAGGAGGAGCATCTGCCATGGAGCACAGAATGGGAGGCAAGGACTGAAAGAAGAGGTCAGACAGGCTGTGACTGCAGTGGTGGGGGCAGCTGGCTCATGAAGCCTGAGGGAAGAGAAGAACCTCTTGCCTTGCAAAGGCCTTGCGGTAGCTATTTGTAGAGAAGGACGAGCCTCCCAGCATCAGAAAGAAATGCGCAACGTCAATTACTGCACAATGTCAATATGGCCCCTGGACTATGCACTGAATAAATGAAACACAGATATAGAGAAGAAAATGTTGAATTAATAAACCCCCTACAAAATCATTTCTCCTTAGCTTAACACGCCAGAAACTGCTGTCTGACTCATGGATTATTTCATTCCGATCATTGTGAATTGCATTACTGACGTCATGGCTGTGCAGTGGAAGATGTAATAGAATAAATACTCTCATCACACTTAACCATGCCCAGCACAGTCCCTGAACAGAGAAGAGATGGCAAACCTCTCAATAATTCTTGTCTTTCCCTTCTCTTGCTATTGCCTTTGGTTTTCTTTTATAGCTCAGAATTTGCAGTTTTCCCTAACAAATGACTCTCAGAGTTACAGCAAGGAGAGGTTGAAAATACTGAAGAGAAACAAAGTTACTGGAAGCATATACACCAAACATTCATAGTGCCATCCACAGGCAGTGGAATTCATGATGATTGGCATTGCTTGTTTTATTTAGCCATTAAGATTTTTCTAATTGGCATCTATTAATTGGGGTGGAGGGGGTGAGGAATACTAATCTTAAAATGTCAAACCATGCAAAAATTTATTTTTATTTTTTTAACAGTGGCTGGGCACCAGGACTAAAACAGGGGGGTTGGTGATTATGGTTGACCTAGTACCAATGTTTGTAAGCAAGTCACTTAAACATAGTAGCTGCCACTCCACAAGCTTATCCTCCCTCCTGCTGTCTTTTCAGAGACCTGAGCACTATGATTCCTTTTAAGCATTAGGGCTTCCTCTTGTCTCCATAGCTTCTGCCATCTTCCACCAGACATGACCTCTGCCCTTGAATATCTCACATGGGGAATTTGTATTTTAAACTGCATCTTTCTTTATGGAACCAAAAGACTTTCCTGCATTAGAGAACTACCACCCTTGATTGTTGCTTCGATAATGATGATGATGATGATGATGATGATGATGATGATGGTAATGATAAGATGATCATCCATATTGACAACATTATGGCAAGTGAAGTCCAAAAGGCCACATATTTATTATATTATTGCATGTATAGGAAATGTCCAAATTAAGCAAATCCATGAAAACAGGAAGTAAATTAATGTTGCCAGGAGTCAGAAGACAGTCCAAGGGGGGAGTCACTGCTCAGGACTATGGGTTTCCTTTTGGAGTGATAAAATTTTGCTGAAATTAGATTATTGTAACAGTCGAATGACTCTAAAAACACTCAATGATGTGTTTTAATTTAAAAGGCAAATTTTGGAGGATGTGTATTATTCCTGAAGTTTTAAAATTTCTATGTGCTGAATTTTTCAGAAAGACAACTGAACATACAAATCGAGGAAAGACAGCATTAGGTTTAGTTTGGAAGTTTACAGCAATCATTTACCATTTTAGAAAGTCACTTCATCCACCAGCCCTTGCCAGTAGTCATGACCCACCAACACCCCACAACTTAATCATTGGTGGCTATTGAGACCACAGTGATTCTGTGCCTAGATGTAAGTTTAAGTACTTCATTATTTTGCACTTGGGCATTTACAGCTGGAAGAGCATTTTTTTATTATTAATTAATTGTCTTCTAGTTCTTCATACTACCATGAGTGCCTATATTGATTTTTCCTAAATAATGGTGAGAGTTGGTTATATTATCTATGGATTTCACTTCAGGATGGGGATGGGTGTGATGCTCCATCACATTTGAAATGCTATTAAAAGGGGGACAACAGGCTAATAGAATTACGACCATTGACCTACTTTCAGATCAACCCTTCATTACACACACATGCCTAGTCACAATCAGCCTATAATTATAGCCCTACGGCTCCGTCTTTTCCCCTCTGCGAATAAAATTACAGGCAGGTAAAGCCAAGTAGCCACAGCTTTCATCGTTTCCCTAGACTAATGCTTTCACCCATCTGGCTTCTGCCCCTGGAATTATAAAGATTCCTTGTAGAGAGCTTAAGTTGCTTTCCAGTTCTCATGGATTCAGGCTCTCACACCTCCACAGCTTTGAGCAAAGGTGGTTTTTAGATGATTGATCTAAGTACATTTTCTCCCTTGCTCATATTAAAAAAGTAAGCTGAGGAGGTGACCAGGGGAACCACTGTTTATTTTCAAAGGCCATGTCACTGTTTAAGCTAAGTGCCTCTCCCCAGGATGTCAGATGGGGACGGCTGTTAGCATTTTTAATTTCTGAGATCATAATAAGTGTCATATTGGGGTGTTTAAGCAAATTTCCTCAACGTGGACTCAGTGAAAGAGCCGTAGATGGGCAGCCTGGAGAGAGGCAGAGAGATCTAGTCTGGGGCTCAAAGGACCAGCCTTCAAGTCTGAACAGAGTGTTAACATTGAACAGGTCTTTTTCTCTCTCTAAGCCTCCCATTTTTTCAGCTATAACTTGGAGATATTAACATCTGTTCCTCCTGTCTTACAGGCTTATGATAATTGAATGTGGATATTTGCAGAGTGCTTTATAAGACATGTCTACGTGTTTATTCACCCTATGTCCTGAGTCCTACCTACTTGCCAGCACGCCCTGGCTTGGCACCAGGGGCACTATAGGGCTGAAGACAGACACAGTCCTCAGGGAATTCAGAGACTGAAAGAGACACAAACACTAATAATTAATGACACTATTAGCTAATCTAACACATGAAGTGCTTCCGAGGAAAAGTACAGGGTGCTATACAACTTTGTAGAGGTGGGATAAGCAAAACTCATTCAGAGGTCAGATGCCATGTTCAAAGTGAGGCCTGGAAAGTTAGTAAGAGCTGACTCAGTGGCAATTGCAAGAATCTGCTCAAATGGTTTTCTTTAAAATATTAATTCTTGGACCCCAGTCCCAGATATGTGGATTCAAAAGCTCCGTGGAAGAATCCAAGGAGTAACATTTATGCTTTTTTTTTAATATTCCCAGATAATTCTGAGGTACTGAAGTAGGCAAGAGTAGGTTAGGTTAAGGGCAAAACGG